TCTGATACACTGAGTTTGATTTGAAAGTTAGTAAGCTACTTTTTTTTTTTCCTTCTCTCTTTAACTTTGAGTCAGGATGGTTAAATTTACAGCTGGCTGAATACTTCCCAGAGGATGAGTGTAGCGATATTGATTTTAGCGAAATGAGTCACATCCCTACTGCCTGGGAACACAGGCTCAATTACCTCAAGCCGGCAACAGAAGCTTTCCCTCGTCAACATCTTCCCTGCATGCTCGTGAGGCTCTGGATATGCACAGAGAGCCAGCTGAGGGGCGCGGGAGGTCACGCCCAGCAGGCCTGGCGGGGTGGTGAGGTGGCGTGCCAAGGGGGCTCTGCTTAGGGTGGGTGGGTCCGTCCCAGCACCACCTCCTCCTAGGGCGCAGGCTTCCGGTTCCCCAGCTTGAGAGGTGGGTTCGTGTCCTGTACCCCAGGGCTGTGGGGTGACACATGCAAGCGGTAGACAGGAACTGTGGGTCATTAGCCAAGGTGAGCTCAGTGGGTGGAGAACAGGACATGAAGGCCCCCTCTTTCTTGGGACCTGCGCTTGAGTTTTGATTAGTTCTAGGTCAGGAACTGCTCAGCAGAAGAGGAGGACCTCAGGGTCCTGGGGCCCTTGTGACCGTCAGGTACCCCCAGGCAGATGTTAGGGTAGACAGTGGTGCTGCCCCAGCTGATTTGGGGGCTACACCCAAGACAGGGATCTGGAGACAGGAAGCAGTGGCAGGAATGGGGGTGTCGGAACACATCTAATTTCTGCGTTGCATTTTTTTTGGTTTGGTACCAGGAATTGAACTCAGGACCTTGCGCTTGCCAAGCAGGTGCTTGTGCCGCTGAGCTATATCCCTGGCCCTCTGCATTGCATTTTAAGCACATTTTTATAGTACTTTATTTATTGCAGTGTTTGGGATTGAACTCAAGGCCTCACACATGCTGTGCCAATGCTGTACTATGGGACCCCACCCCCCAGTCTGATAATTTATTTTTTACTCGTATCATTATTGATTCAAGGAGGAGAAGATGTAATCTTTCTTAACCCCAAGAAGATCCACATGTTTTTTATATTGGTTGAGCTCATTATAATCAGATCAATAAAGCCAGTTCCAGAGGATGAAATGTTTTAAAGCTCAATTTCCTATAATAAGCATACAGTGAATAAACAGAATGTCCTGTAGCTCACCAACAAACTCAGGAGACAGAGACAAGGTTAAAGGTTCCGGAACAGCTCCCCGCTGCGGAGAGGAGCCTCGCCCGGGAGGGGGAGGGGGTAACCGCGGGAGGGGAGACGGCGGGAACAGATGCTCACAGTCAGGGCATTTTGCGGAGAGAGTTTTCCAGCCCTTCTCTGGACCCCATCCGCCACCACAGAGGGCAGCCTGGGGCCTCCTGTCCCTGGGTCTGCCCCACGGGAGCCGGGCCGTCATTAGCCTCTCAGGTTCCTGCTGTTAAAAACTTCTATCCCTTGGTTTTAGCTTTTAATTTAACCAAGGCATTCAATAAGTTGGGGTTTAATTTTTCAGACTCTAACAGCTACTCTCTGTTGCTCGCTCCAGAGCGCTTTTGGTGTCACTTAGCTTCTGATGGCATGACGGTGTTCACGCAGCGGGAAGGGACAGCCCCCAGGTCGCCCCACTGGACGTGACCGGGCTGGGCGCGGACCCGGCTGTGTGTGACTGTCCCTCCTCAACTGCCCCACCCCTGCCTCGAACACGGTGCCTGGTGATGGGGGCCGTGCTCGTGACTTCTGAACTGAGGTCTTGTTTGAGACCTCATTACTTAGCCGAAATTTGCCCTGATATTTCTCAGGAGCCAACCTGGCAGCTTATTAAAACCCTTAAAAATCTTTTGCTTTTGTGCCCTGTTAGCACAGAAAAATAGTAAAGAGCTAATTATTAAAAGTAGGAAAAAAATACTACAGCCTGTCTTCTAAATGGAAGATTTTCGTACTTAAAAGACAGATTCTCAGTCTCTTTGGGAGTTGAGGAAACATAACATTCAGAAATACAATTTTCTTTTAAACAGAAAAATTTCAATCATGATCTTTTAGCAACTCAACTTTTCCTCTCCTCGTCTTCCCCCTTGCTGGCAAGGTTGTATCGTTGCACTTTTTGGAAAAAAAAAAAAAGAATTCACCGCCGTTTCTGAAGTTAAACATATGGTTATGTGCTCCAGTCCAAGAAGCAAGGGAAACATTTTCTCCAAGCAGACCAAGTTTGTCTTTCCTTTTGGGCCTGAGGATTGGCGGTGGATTCCACATGAGCAGAGAGCTGGCCGCTGAGCGTCAGCGGCAATGGGTACAGTCGTCTTGGTGGCTGAAAATGCTGCTGGCCCTCCAGGGTCCCCTCAGTGCTGTGGGGGTGCAGTGGCACGGCGCTCTCCTTCCCCACTGGGGGCATATCACGGTCCCCACCCGCAGCGTCCCAGAGGTCCCAGCCACCTGGCAGCAGGTGGGCATCCTAGGATCTGCTGGGGTGGGGATGGGGGTGTGTAGGCTCAGGCTTGTTCACATGGAGAGTCCTGTGGTGCTTCTGCAGTTTCAGCCCAGGTGTCCCTGCAGACCCTGCCTGTGACTCCAGTCTGAAGTGCCTTTGCCACGTCCCCTCAAGCAGAAAGCACATCCGCTGCACCTGCCCCTCGGAGCGGACAGCTGGGCTGCTGCGGGCAGACCCTTTGCTACCGTGGATCGTGTGACCCTGGGGCCACCCTCTGTGCCACCTACGTCTTGAAGCAAAATAGTTGAGAGCCTTGTGCCATTTAAGAGGTAGAGATTTTTCATTTACAAAAAGTCAGCTACTTCCAAAGTTTTCTCTGATGACAAGTGATTGCCAATTGTAGGTCCCTAGATGATATTAGGAAAAAAAAAAAAAAAACCAACACACTTAATCACCCATCAAGGTAAAAGTGACATTTTAACAAAGGGTGAGAGTAACTGCTTTCCAAAAAGCATGTACTAGGGAGAGAACATCTTGAAAGCAGATTTATTTGGTGCTGAGGATGGGACCCAGGACCTCAGCGTGCCGAGCACATCTTCTCCCCCAGAGCCGCGCCCCAGCCCACAGAAAACATCATTTAAGTCATTTCTATTGTTTGTGATTTTTTTTTTATTGCCAAAAAGCGATGTTAAGAGTGTCATTTGTTAAAAACCCATCACAAATACCTACGCCCTTAATTTGGGATCAGTGTTTTTCGAAGCTTTTAAAAATCCTTTTATGAAAATTGCTGCGCATTTTGAGCTGGGCTGTTAAAAACAGGAGATAAAACAATGATACCTTCTGACTGATGTCGAAGCCATAATGTCACATTAGGGGGAAAGGAGCTTACTAGCAAAATGTTCTCAAAACTCTTCGCCCTGGGTGAGTGGAGGTGGAAATGAACTCCTGGGGCTGCGGGGGCGGGAGGGCGGCAGCTCCTACTTCCTGGTCCCCGTGTTCCTGGGAGGAATGCTTGTCAGCTTTTACATAGCTCAGTGGGGAAACGGAGGTACCAGGAGGCTACTTTCGAATCCCGAGTTACAGAAAGTTTACATCAATGAAAGTATATGCAGTTCTGTTGCTCTAAGAATATCGTAACTCTTTATTTTAATGATTTCAAAGAAGTCGGTTGATACTCTTTTTCGGGGGTTGATATTTTTAATACCATGCTTGTAAGTAGTACATTAAGATATATTTAAACATATTCGTTATTCTTGCCTGAAGTTGTTCTGTGTTGGCACTTTTTAGCTGTCCACGTTCTGTGGCTCTTGCACAAGTGGCCCTGTGTTGGTGATCCATGTGAGGGTGTGGCTGGTGGGGTGCAGTGAGTGTGGGAGGCGGCTGCAGGAAGCCCGGATCTGTGCCGTCCCTGCTGTGACTCTCATGGGCGCTGATGGATGACTTTCATTTCCTTTCCCGGGGAGCGGGCCGGGCTGCAGGCAGTGTGTGTGGGTCACAGCACACAAAGCGGGGTATCCTTCAGGGTGTCCACGGCGCAAACACTGCTTCCTGGAGCCCATGGAGGGGGTGGGTAGTATCTGGAGATCTTGGCATGTCACCCATCTCGTCTGCTTCTTGGCCACTGGCTTGTGTCCCCAAGCTGCCGCTGCCTTGTCCCACGGAGGAGTCCCGGGTGCCAGAGGCAGTCTAGGCCTTCCCCGCTGGGCTGTGGCAGCCCTGGTGCTGTCTTGGAGGGAAGCGTCTTCTGTGTTGCCGGGCCGGCAGCACGTACAGCTCCTGGGGACACGTCCAGGGGTGACGCGCGAAGTGCACCCGAGAATCCCCCCGGAGCTTAAGTGTGAGAGGTGAGAAGTCAGCGCTGTCAGGGATCAGGAGGAGCTGTGATGATTGACATGTGTGAAGCTGACCTCACTCACCCCTGGGAGATGGCAGTGACAGGGTCGTTTCCCACACTGTGCACGCACGCACGCCACAGTGCCACAAGTGCCTGACACGGCTGTGACAGACATGCCAAAGACCAGGCTGTCTTACCTCTGGGGGCCCCGGTGAGCCCCCCGTTGGCCCACACCTGGTGCCCTTCTGTGGCTCGGGCTGCTGTGAGGGCCACTCATTGTCGCCCAGTGTGGCCGCCACCCCTGTTGCTGGCTTTGTGGCAGAGCAAGTGTCTGTTGTGAAAATGGCACGGCTTGAAGTTAGTGGTTCTGGAAACAGCTTCGTAGAGCAAGTGCAGCTTTCCGGTTAGGCTCCCGGTTCCATAACCTCCTGTGTGAACTGCAGCCCTGGGTGTGTTACCAGGTGTCCCTGAGACTCCCTGCTCTCTGCCGGAAAGTGGGCTTAGGGTCTGTGTGGCTTAAATGAATTATTATCCATAATGCTCGCTGGAGACATGATCTGTGCCGTCAGCGGAGCCCTGGGGAGGGGGTGGGGAGCGTATTGTCATGTTCCAGGAGGTCTCGTTCAGCCTGGCGGGTGCTCTGCGCCCATGGGCTCCTTGTTAAGTGGCATCTTTGTTGTAGCATATTTACTTTGTAATCTAAACATTTCCTGTCTCTTTTCTGTTTGTGTTGTAGGAACCCAGCTATTTAGTGGCCGAAGTGACTTTAGAATCACTACCTTGAAATTTTATCCCAAAGACCACAACATTTTTTTATGTGGAGGCTTCAGCTCTGAAATCAAGGCTTGGGACGTAAGGACCGGCAAGGTAATGCATACCTTCTTGGGCTGGCTTCTCTGTGGGAGAGCATTTGGGAGCATTTGGGTCCCTGGGACGGCTCAGCCTCTCTGTGTGGACCCTGAGATGGAAGAATTGGCACTTACTGTGTGACCGTGCTAGCCTGTTTCTGGGTGTTTGAAAGAGGCTTCTTGAATTGCTAGGCCGCAGACACATCGTAGGTGCAGTCCAGCTCCGTGTTGCTCACCTACTGTGTGCGGTGCTTCCTGGCGATGCAAAGGGAGTCAGTCTCAGGCTGCTCAAAGAAACAGTGCACGGGCGTGGAGAAGTCTGGTGTGGAGGAGAGCTCAGGCTCCATGACCTCCGGAGGCCGATTTCAGGTCTGGCAGCACCACTGGGGCAGGAGGGGACTCAGCCACAGGGTACCACAGAGAGCTGGCACACCCTGCGCGGGCTGCACCAAGACTGACTGTGGGAGAAGAGGGTGTGATGGTCAGAGCATCCCCTGTTTGGGGTCCCAGGGCTCAGGGCCTCCCCCCGATGTGTTTCTGCCCTCGGGGGTGCAGGGGCTCCTGACCCATCCTGGACAGGCTCCGAGTGGCGAAGGTGAGGCAGAGCCCCCTCGGCCTTGGTTCCAGGAATCCTGGGGGCCCTTCCTGGAAGGCTGATGGGACCCTCCTTTGCCTCATGTAAAAGCTAAAACAGAGGCCCTTTTCTTTAGAGAGAATGGGATATTTTGTCCACAGATGAGCTCGAACTCCAGGTGCTTCACGAAGGAGATGGGTGCTTCCCAGGAGTGCAGTGGGGACTCCAAAAGCAGTAGCACGGGTGCATTTACTCATTAAAAGCACACCCACAGGCATCCTCCCTGACAAAGATGTTTGGGGAAGAGAGAAAAATTACCCAGAAAGAAGTGGACATGGTGGAATTAAAAAAAAAGCCCGCAATACTTTATATTTAGGGTGTAGAAGCATGACCAAGGAGAGGAGACATGTGAACGCATTGTGCTAATTGGAAACTCTTAGGCCATCTGAAGTGGGGCCACCTGGTCACCGGGCCCCTCCTGATGGCCACCCCTGAAGGTGCACCCGCTGTTTTTAGTCTCAAAGACCAAACATGTAAGAAATTACTCACTATGGACGCCATCTGATTTCAGAGTTTGTTAAAAATACCGGATTTTCTCCCGGGGCAGACGCCAGCTGACAGGCTCCGAAAATGCCGGGGCAGAAGCAATTAGAAGCAGATGTTGCTGTGACTGGTGCTGGCATGTCTGCGAGTCTCTCCCAGGCTAATAATGTGGGTAAAGGGATCTGTGCGGTATTTGTTTTTACTTCCTGTTAACCAACAGTCCTCCCCCGCCGGGTCACACGGAGCGGGGCTGGTAGTTCCATTTGCATCCGCTGGGCCCAGGGGACCACACTCTTTGCCGCTTTGACGAGAGCTACCTGTGTCCCAGAAGAGGCTCAGCAAGCTGTCAGCGCTCCCTGGGGCCTCTGCGGAGTCCCGCCCCTGCCTCTGTCCCTGGTGCTGACCGCTGCGCCCGCTGCCAACAGCCTGGCCTTTTCTGAGCACCAGCCTGGGCCACAGAGGGCCCGCAGGGGGAGCAGGAGGCACACGGGCCTCGGCTTACTTAGGAAGGAGGCAGCGAGGCACTGCCTCTGGCTCCACTGGGAGGAGTGTGTGTTATACAAGTGACAGTGAACCACGCGGTGAAGTTGGGAAATTCAGGGAAAGAGAGAGGGGGAGGAGGATCCCAGCCGGCTGAAGGGAAACAACTTGTGACATTTTGATGTATTTCTTTTATTGTTATTTCCCCCTGTGGTTTCATTTTTAGTATAAAAACGGCTTGGTCATACTTTCATACACGCTCTTGGATTTTGCATTTCACATGGATCATAAGGGGGTTCCTTGTTACTACAAAGTCATGAAAGGGTAGTGCTTCCCCTTTCACTCAGTGTGTCCTTGATTGCTCCTCCCTTACGTCCAGTTTTCAGGTCAGTGCCTGACACGTGCTTCTATGGATAGAACGCGTCGGATTTCTTTAACTTGTTAAATTACTTTCCAGCACGCTGTGATCAAAATATACAGTGAACATTCAAATTTTTAAGATGCGTTGCCCTTGATGCTGCTCAAGGCCCTCCTCCTCACTTTATTTTTTTAATTCATTTTAAGTTTTTAATCTTTTTTGGTTGAACTCAGGATCTTGTGCTTGGCAAGCAGGCAGGCAGGCGCTGTGCCACTTAGCCACATCCCGGCCCCCTCCTCACTTGGACGCACTCATGCCATCGCTCGTGCCACCTGCTGAAGCAGGAGTCCTCTTTCCTGATACCCTTAGTGGCACTGTCGTAGCCTCGACGTCCTGGGTTGACTCAGAACGTCTCGCCTTTCCCTGTCACGGTCATGTTGGCTTGGGGGACGAGCGGGAAGTTGCCTGGCGCTGTGTCTAGCAAGGTGGGTGAGGCCGTGTGACTTTTCTCTCGCCTGTCTTTCCAGTGGGCGGCTCTTGGCAGCAGCGTGCACAGAGTTTCCCATCACACCTTGAAAAGACAGTCGTGGGAGCGGACTTCCAGAGCCGCTTCAGAGCAAAACGCAACAACAGTGGGGTGTGTGTCCAAAGTGTGTGTGTGTGGGGGTATTCTGAGGAGGACTAATAGCAATATGTCCTTTACAGAAAGAAACTTGGAAAAATCTAGACACTCGTACTTTTCCATTATACTTCGTATGTTGGACGTGGAAGAGGTTCCAAAAACTTTCTTTTCTTTTTGGCATTCCAAACTAGTAGAGTGATCGTCATAGGCATCAAGGGTCAGCAGACTGCAGCCTAAAGCAAAATCCAGCTTGCCGCCTGTTTTTGTCAATAGTTTTATTGGAACTTGTTCCCTTACGTACCATCTGCAGCTGCTTTCACTGCAGTGGCAGAGTTGACACCACATGGCCTGCAAAGCCAAAAATATTTACAGTCTTGGTGGCTGTGGTGTCAGACCCTCTGTTGTCCTGCTGTTGATCAAGACTAATCTGCCAGATCTGGCTAACATGGTGGGTGCCCTGTACCTTACCCCATTTGATATTTTTTGTTGTTGTTTTGTTTTTTTTTTTCCAGTACCGGGAATCGAACTCAAGACCTTGTGCTTGCCAGGCAGGTGCTGTGCCGCTGAGCTATATCCCCAGCACCTGCTCACCCCATTTGAGATTCCTTTGCAGAAACGGTGTGCTCAGGGACTGTCTTTTCTAGATGGCTAGGAACTGCTTGTTTTTGGGTATATAAGTCTTTCCTCTCTTGCTATAATCTCTAAGCAAGCCACCAAGTTTACTGTGTTATATATTCCCCTATAAGAAACATCGCTGTGCAACTTGCTTTTTCCGTATTTGGGATTTACTGCCTTAAGCTTGAGTCCAGGAACTCTTAATTGCTGGGTCAAAGCAAGCCAACACTTTGATGGCAGGGAGTGGTTTCCGCCAAGAGGAGGGAGGCTGGTGAGCCCCCATCGCTGGAGGACAAGGGCAGCCCCTTCATGGATCTTGGGGTATGGGGTCTGGCGAATCGTTGAAACAGGTAACTTTGAAGCCACATCCCAGGCTGAGATTTTATGATTCCTTGAACTTAGCCAGATGACAAATGTCAGCATTCCGGCCTTCGCCAGCCCAGTCCAATTCATTATAGCGAATGGGCTGCGTGGCTCCCGGTCTTTTTCTCTTGGCTGATCTCTGCCTCCAATTTGATGATTGGAGCTCATCTCGTCTCTGCCCAGAGCCTGGCTTCATTTCCAGCGGGTCAGCAGGGTGCATTCTGTGAGAGCCAGCTCCACTCGCTTCTTTGAAGCTGGCCTGATGCTGCGGGTACTGCGCTCTGCGCCTGCTTCCTCCTGCCGGCGTGCTTGGACTTGGGTGTCGGCCGGAAGCCAGGATGCCCGTGTCTGTGGTGCAGCTTTTCGGGTCCCTCGCGCCAGACTCCCTACCGCACACCCGGCTCAGTGTCCTGAGCTGCAGGGGACCACACTCATGTCCTTACTCTCCCACCGGCTCCGCTGGGTGGTCTAGGCAAAAATCACAGCAAACCTGTGTGACCTCCACACTGCAGTGGCGGAGGGCATGACAGGGTCATCTCTAAAGCCAGCTTCTCACACTCACTGGAGGACAGGTGCAGGGAAGCGCCTCGGCTCCCGGTAGCGTGCAGCTTCTGTCTCAGCAGTTCTGGGTGGCGAGGAGACCCTGCCTTTCTAGTAGGCTCTGAGAGCAAGGGGGAAGCCTGTGCTTGGGCTGCACTTGGAGAAGCCCTGGCCTAGAGGCGTCTGCATGTAGGAGCACCTCACTTTGCTGCCATGGGCTCCCCTGGCCTTCCTCCTTGGGGGGCCGCGCTGGCTGTGACCACCTCTCCCACCTTCGAGGTCCCCCACGCACAGCTCATTGTCGTCTGAGCCCCACACCTCCCATGGGGCCTGGACCAGAGGTGCTCAGGGCAGCCTGCGTGAATGCAGAGGCACCTGCCCCAGTGTCCGGCCAGAGGCCACCCCCTGGCACCTCCAGGAGATGGGACGTGAGGCCAGCTGCTGTTCTGAACCGCAGCAGAGGCAGGAGGGCCTGGGAGAGCCTGAGTAAGTGAGGTGTGCCGGGCCAAGCCAGGTTCCACGGCCCTCCAGCAGCGCTGGACTCTCAGCTCCCCGGGATGTGACAGTTTCTGGCTTGATTGTTTCCGCTTGGTGGTGCCCTGGCTGTGTGCCCAGCGCTACCTTGAGCTGCGGAGTTAATGGAAAGGTTGGGACACAAACCCGGCCCTCTGGGGCCTGCCAGCACCCTGGAAAATGTCCCATGTGGGTCACCTTTAGGTTCTCTTTATGTATTTTGAGCTAAAAGTTAGGGTAGCTAGGAAAAGCAGCTCACCCCTCCTTGGATCGTGGATCGGATCTGTTAAGCTCACGCAGGCTTGGAAACTGCCTGTGTTCATCAGCTCACCCTCTGCCAGCCTAAGCCTCGGCAAGTCACTTCTCAGTGAGGGCAAGTTGGGCCCTGCAAACTGGAGCAGCCCTGGAAAT